CTATAGATTTTTTTTTTTTTTTTGATGAGTACGTACTTAGTGCTTAGGGCAATTGTCTAATGATTGATGCCTAATGCTAAAGCTTTGCAGGGTAACTATGTTCCCACCTTGCCATACTTGGTAAACTGCAGGTACTCTGCCATTAAGTTCCTCCATGCCTCAGGACCCTTGCTTATACCACTCCTGTGCTCTTTCAAGAGACATTAAAAGATGTGCTCGTTTAGATTTAGAACTGGCTCTAGCACCAACCTTTGAACCTATGGCCTAACTCTGGGCTTAACCTCAAACTTCCCAACAGAAAAATAGAGGCAATTTAAAGCAGATTGTACATACAAGATGCTGGCCACACACACACACACACACCACCACCACCACCACCACCACCACCACCAACAACAACAACAGTTTGAGTGATCATGTCCCTTTCTAAAATCCAGGCTGAACTATAATCCTCGGTGGAACATATTGAGGTTCAGTTTACGGAAGGTGATTGAGAGGTGTGGACTCCATGCTTGTGAATAAAATTAACAGCTTTATACACTGATTCACAGTTGAAGTGATTGCCCCCTTGCCCCTTCATTATTTTCCTGTTGAAGAAGACAAGCATTGCTCACTCCAGAGGAGCAGCATCCAGCACCATCTAGGACATTGAGAACATCCCTCCTAGACCACAGTGCTGCTAGCACCTTGATCTTGGACTGTCTTGCCTATAGAATGTGAGAATCAAATGTTCTTCATAAGTCACTCTGACTCAGGCAATTGTCATAGTAGCAGGGATAAGTGCATAAAGATACTGAACAAAAACAGTTTGTATTTTTCATTCCTACCCCTAAACTCCCTTATTCTTTTTAACAGATGACCATTCACAGATAAGAACATTTTGTTTTTGAGGAATAAGATATTCCTCCCTCTCCCCCCTCCCCCAAGAAAAACAGTGCATCTGACTTCAAATCTAATGTATCTATCATACCAGATAATTGTAGTTTGTTGTTGTTTTATAATGGTACCTTCACAACATTTTAGAAGTTAGAAAAAGGGGGCTGGAAGAGCTGGAGAGATGGCTCAGTGGTTAAAGTTTGTTGTTCTTTCAGACAACTGCAATTTGATTCCCAGTCACAGCCATCTGTGACTCCAGTTCCTGGGGATCCAATACTCTCTTTTGACCTCTGAGGGAGCCAGGTATGCATATGGTGCACATACCTGCATAAAAGAATAACACACATAAAAATAAAAAAGAGAAGGCAGGGCTGGAGAAATGGCTCCTCAGCCTTTAACAGCATATATTGCTCTCATAGAGGGCCCAAGTGCAGTTGCCTGTACCCACAGCAGACAGCTTACAACTACCTCTAATTTCAGCTGTGGGAAGGCTGAACACTTTTGTCTCCCTAGGGCACCTTCACTCAGGTACATGTATGTATACATAGAGACACCCCCATCCATATGTGCATAATTAAAAATAATAAAAATGAATCTTATTTTTTTTTTAAAGGAGAAAGGCAGTGATGTATCTGACAGTGTAGAAGACACTAAAGAAAAACAGCAGATGGCAGCACCAGATGCTAGTGACATGGCTGAGGTACTTTTGGTTGCAACTTGAGCCCTGGGAATGCCAAAAGTACTCAGAGCCACATTCAGAGAGACAGTTTTCTATAGAAAAGATGGTGTCCCTTAATAAAAATAATGTCTGCTGTGCAGCATAAGGCAGTGTTTTTAGAAACATTTCATGTGTTTCAGCAAAATCCTAAGACAAGAAACCTCTAGCCTTCTCTAGTGTAGGTCCTTGGGCAAAGACTATTTGGGTTTATAATTGTGTCTTTATCACCTTGTGCTTCAATTAACTAAAATGTCCAAAGCTAAAGACTATAACAATAAGCTTCTAAAAAAAATCCAAAATGTTAACATTTATTCCTTCTGCTTTAAAATAGGGAATAACAATGGCCTCTATCATATTTTTGAGCAGATATCATAGAAAGCCACTTACAAAATGAATATCAGAATATTCCAGTAAGTAAAAAAAATACTAAAAATCAGAACAATAATCTCTCATTTTCCACTCAGTGAATCAAAATATCATATGAAATTAGTAACAATTTAAAACCAGGTGTAGCTCATCCATGCCGGTCTTCTCTCAGAGGGAGGAAATGCCACAGTGGTCGCCGTTACAACATAGAGCCAGACAACTGCCCCAGGACAATCACACTTTTCCATCATTCCACACCAGGGTTTTATTTCCCTTAAACATGGCTAGAGCACTTAATAACTTTCCTGTGAGACCACAAAGAACATAAATTTGGCTCTGTATTTCAGATCCTAAGTAGCAAGGGAATTTGAGTTCATATAAAGACAAAGCAAGATGCCCACTTAGGTCTCCCAGCGGATCTTAGATCTTTCTGGCATTTATTTTTGTTCTCTTATGTTGAAAGTGAACAACAGCAACTGCATCCTAAGGGAAGGCAGAGTCAGTCTGCAGTAGAGGAACATTCTGAGCAACACTGCATTCGGCCAGCAAAAGTCACTGTCACCCAGTTGGAGCAAATTCTATTCCCAGTACTATGACTGTTATTGTGAACATATTTTTCCTCTCTGGAATTCAGGTTGAGTCTCTTGAGAATATCAAGCAAGATGGCTGATGCAGTTCAAATTCAGATGAAGAATTCTGAAGTAAAACTGCTCCAATCAACAAGAGAAAAAGATGAAGCAGGCATCCAAGTTGTGGAAAGCAATGCACATGCACTTCAGCTAGCCACAGTCAGATAAAGCTCCAGAATCTAATAATGTCTAGATCAATGCTCTATGAAGAACAAATGACTCATTGCATGAAATTGTACATGGTGTCAAGAAGCAAAAAATTTCAACAGATGGGATCAAGAAAGCAAGGCATTAGGCAAGGAAGACTTTCTTCTGAATGTACCTTGAAAACAATGTCTGAGCAGCATACAGATAACACCCATCAATTCCCAAAGATCTTATGCCTTAGTGAAGTCTAAAAATGTGCTCCATTTTAATTAACCTAAGCTTGATTTAAATCCGACTATGGACCCTTGGTTAGATGACCTTTCAGTGTCTTCACTGAAGCCTATACGGTTCCCAAATATGCCAGCACACAGGCAACAGTAATGGGTGCCACTCTCTTACTGACACATAGCAAGGCAAGGCATTTGGAGGTTTGCGTGCACACTGACATTATCTAGTCCTCTAGGGGCTTCCCTGGACTCTCACATACACACAGGCGTCATGGAGAAGCCACCACTGGCTTCTGCTGACATTTTCTCCTGTGGAGAACTGGGTGGGTGACTTTTTGTGGCACCATGAGCTCAAGTCAGTCTCTTTTAGCAGCTGTGACTGGGAGAGCATGCTGTGCTCGGCCCGTTGGCTCCAGTCTTAGAACACAAAGTATGTGTTACAACCATGAGCACAAGAATCCTGACCATACCCCTCCCTAGCTCTAGATCTGTAATGAGAATGTTCAAAGTAAATGCATGCAATCAAGATACAGGCTGGCTGTAAGAACGCTGGGACGGTTGTGGATTGGTGGCCCTGAGACATATTTTTTTTTTACTCTCTGACTCCAGACCCCACACATACTGGAAGAAAAGCAACAGGCAGAAGATGGAAAAAACAGATCGGGTTTATGAGAGCATCTTTGAGCCCATGCCACACTTAAGCATTTGGATTTTCATCAGGCAAAGAATCTAGCCATTTGGATTTTCTTTCTCTTCAATAGTCCCTGGAAAAAACTGTCCAGCATGTTAGTCTGACTTTTCTGCTCTAGGGTCACTGCCATGGAATCTTTAGAACCAGGATGGATATCTGTGATTTTTTTTTTGTCATGGAAATTAGGAACAAGGCTAGACAGTCCTCAAAATGATATAAAATAAAGGCAAGAGAAATTAGATCACAATAAAAGATGTGCCCCTATCACTCCAGTTCAATAACAGTTTGAATGACATTTGTTTCCTTAATTTAAAAACATTATCTAGCTAACAGCTGCTGTGAAGGCTGTGATTGGGGTGGGGGAAGGTATGGTGGGTGGTGGAGCATTCTTGGAATTCAAATAGTCACCAGAAAAGACCACCTCCTATTTCTTACAGTTTGACATGGATGGGACAGACCAGTGTCCAGATTTAATGGTAGGGCAAAGAGTATGTACCATGTTCTATTGTTCAATTAGCCACCTTCACAAGCATCTCCACTCAATCATACTGCTGATAAGACCCTAAGTAAAATGCCAATAAAGTTCACTTTATATGCTGAAGGTACCTGAGTTCATGCTTGTTTAGGATGAGTGAAGTTGGGGGACCTGATCCTATAATCAGCTTCCACAAAGGATACAGAACAACCCAGGGCCCAGCACTTCCAAGAACCATGCATGCATATGTAGTTGTTTCAGAATCGGTACTGTGGTTGATCCTCTCCTCCATTATCATGTATGCCCTAAACAAAATCACACGGCATCTGCTGATCATATAGACTTAGCAAGTGCTCCAGTGCTTAATTATTGCTAAAGTCATTTGGGGTTTTTGACACAGATTCTATTTTAGTAAGATAAACTCAGCATAACCCAACATTGCCAAAACTGAATTCCTAAGGTAGATGACTAAAATAAACCAGCAATAAACATTGGCTGTTGGAATGGGAATCATATCTCTGTAATGTAGACACAGCATTAATGACTCATTTTAAGTAACAGTCTCTCCCGGGGATTATTGGGATGAGGGATCTAAGGGAAAAAAAAATGTCCATCTCTTTTAGGTGTAGGACTGCAGAGGGTTATGAACCAATCAGGCAAGTGTATTGTTAGGCTTACTTTGCCAAAGAGACACAGCCCCTGGAGTCCAAAAGGAGATCCACTTGGAAAGATTGCCTTGAGACACAAGTAAGGCTTTGAGAGAAGCCATCCTTGGGGCAGAGGTGGCTGGCTCTGGGAACAATTCTCTCATCCCTTTGAAGATGCAATATGTCCCCAGTCCACCTACTTCATCTTACATGACACCAGTTACCTTGTCCTCATTGGGTGCTGCCATATTCCTTTGTTGCTTGGAATTGGTGGGTATTTTTGGGCCACCTTTCCTTTCTAAGTTTGAATCCGGAATCTTGGGCCCACTCAGTTGAGACTTACAACTTCTCTGGTGTACAGGTAAGCGGTCCGGGGCAAAGGTCCGGCCACAGTTCGGGCAAGGCACAAGCACAGCTTGGCTTGCCCCTTCTTGACTGGGATGTCCAGTTGGAAGCAGTTGGGGCTTCTGGGGCAGTGGCCGACGCAGCTCTTTCGGGAGCCGGTCATTCTCAATTCTCCACTTTTCCAAGCATTTGGGCTCATGGATAGGAAGGGACAGTGTGCCAAATTCCCTACCACAAATGTAACAGATGAGAGTCCTTGGTCTGGCTGGGACGCCGCTAGAAGCTTTCTTGAGACCAGTAGGAACATCAGGACTATCCGTGCCCGGTGTTCTGGGATTCTCACCCTTTGGCTTGCAGCTTCTCTGGTGAATCAGGAGACGATCTGGCAAGAACGTGCGACCACAGTAGTCACAGGGGAGCAGCTGAGCTTGAGCCCTCTGAAATGCCTCCTCGTTGGCTGCCTGAAGGATATAGGAGCCACTGCCACCGATGGGCTGTGGTTTGGAAGGTTCCGGCCTCCTCAGGTGCTTGGGCAGTTTGCTGTTCTCAATGCGCCACTTCTCCAAGCACTGGGGCTCATGAATGGCAAGTGACTGGGATCCAAATTCTCGGCCACAGATATAGCATATCCGGAACCCCGGCCTGCGGGATGGGATCACAGGGGGGCTAGGCAGGCCTTCTGACATAGTTCTACTTGAGCCTTTTGATAGTATTACTGTTCCGGGCCTCCTTTTCTGAGGGTTGGTCTTTATGTTTACGGTGAGATCGCCGCACTGGGTTTCTGGCGGAAGGGTCGAGTGGGAATCACTGGGCAGGACAACCCGATGGATAAGGAAGGTAGGCTCTTTGGAGCCCTGGAAAGCTCTTTGTGATTGAGTGGGAATCCCCTCCTCTCCTCTTTCCATGAACACAGGAGGCTTTCTCAAGCGCTTGCTGGAATTTCAGGCCACACTAGCCCTAGGCTGCTGCTTACACTGACGGTTCGGTTCCTGATGCTGGCTGTCCTGGGCTCCCACATTGTTGCCATACTTGGATCAGCGACTCAGTGCTTCATTGTAGGAAGCAGTCTGGGATGTTGGAAAGTTCCCATTAAGCCTCAGATGTCTCTAAGATCTGTAAGGAGTAGGGGACATAAGTCAAGAAATTACTCACAGGCTTCCCCCCACCCCCCGCCCACACACACACCTTAGATCATAACCTGATGAAAGTCAGTATTTCTTTATTCATCATAGTCTCTTTGGCTAGCTTAGTAACCAGTATATTAGAGATATTCAAGAAACATCAACACAAATGTGAATAATTCTTTAGACACTGCAGTGTACTGAAGTTAGTAGGGCAAAATTATACACAAAGAAGGCTGATAGTCACCTCACATAGACACGGATGGCACGAGACAAAAGGCAGAGTCAAGTCCAAGATGGCATATCCACAGAAAATGAAACTGTAGATTGCACAAATCAAAGGAATCAACAGACCCTGAAGAAAATCATCCTGGGGGCCACACCCCCTCCTTCAGAGCGTCTTAACCCTTTGGTGCCCTAGACCCCTTTGATAATTGTGAACATAGCAGACTTTTCAGAATGTTTCTTAAAAACAACAACAAGAACAAATTTGTTTTTAACACTATTTAAAAGTGAAACAAATTTTGTTGGGATGTGTCAAATACTTGAGGTGACACTCAGACTGTTTTATAACCCTCCCTTTTTTTTTGTTTTGTTTTTCTTTTTATTATTTAACAAATGAAACAAGTTTTGTTGAAACGTGTCAAGTATTGGGGCTGACACTGCGCACTGAGATATGTAGTGTTATAGGCTTCTTGAATATTCATGGGTTTCAAGTGAAGAACCTGGATTTGTGTTTTTTGTTGTTTTTATTTTTTGTTTTTTTTGGGGGGGATTTTGTTTGTTTTGTTTTTGTTTGTTTGTTTTGTTTTGTTTTTCAAGACAGGGTTTCTCTGTATTGCTTTGGAGGCTGTCCTGGAACTTGCTCTGTAGACCAGGCTGGCCTTGAACTCACACAGATCGCTTGCCTCTGCCTCCCAAGTGCTGGGATTAAAGGCGTGCACCACCAGTGCCTGGCAAGAACCAGGATATGATAGCTGCATATGTTGCTTGGAACTAAGATGTTCAGCCACTGGTTGATGTTCTTGTATCACATTTATTTATTTATTTATTTATTTATTTATTTATTTATATACTCTTCCAACTAGTTTTTGTAAAGAAAGAAAAATATGGTCACTGGTTTTCTCAAACAAATAGAAGGAAAGGCTGATAAGACAATGAAATCTTGTTACCACAGAAGCAGAAGCAGTTTTTTTTCTCCCCCACCCCCCATGGGGAAAATGATGAGTACATTTTACTGTGGATCAACAACCTAATCCTAAGGAAGGTTTTTCCAAACAACTCAGGGCCTCATTTCCTGGGTTCCTGAGTCAGGGTCAGATCCCAAAAGCATTCATTTAGGTCGCAGGAAGGCACCCGACCTGAGACTTGGCATTGTCAGCAGACAGATGACCTTAGACTCATAATATGAAAACCTCCGTTATAAGAGTTATAACAGATGAAAAGAAGTGTGAGATCCGAGCCTGGTTCCTGCATTTGGGTGCCAAGAAAGGCCTGAATCTTCGTAGCTTAGAGGATCAACTCAGGTCTGGCACAGAGAAGGAAACGATTCCTCATTCTGACAGCTCCTGAGACAGAAACGCTAACACGTGGCAACAAAAGAATGTGTTGGCTAGCACAGAAAATGAAACTCAGATCACTTGCTCAGTCCCATTAGTAGAGACAGTGGGCTAAGGGGACATGGGGGGCATGGGGTAAGTGGGCTAGGAGACATGGGGGGCATGGTAAAGAGATCTCACTATCTTTTATCAGCATGGGAGTAAAATACCCAGAGTTGCTGACTACTCTGACCTAGTTATCCACTTTCCCTGATACTGGAAAGTTACAGACAGTGTGAGTAGTGAAAGATATTAGGAAACTCAATGCAACAAAATTGGCTCTCTTCTCTTTAACTGTTTCTCTGTCTGTCTGTCTGTCTGTCTGTCTGTCTCTGACCCTCTTTTTCCCTACTCATATGTGTATACACACACACACACACACACACAGAGAGAGAGAGAGAGAGAGAGAGAGAGAGAGAGAGAGAGAGAGAGAGAGCCAATTCTCAGTATGATACTGAGAAAGCCCTGTGACCTACCCCAACAACTCCTCTATCCTCAACTGTGGGCCAAACACTGCACTAGTTTCCATGTACATAATTCAGCGAATTCTCATATGACGATGAGGAAGACACTGCTATCTAATTTTATAAGCAAACTGCAAGTCAGAGAAGACAAATACTTTGCTTGAGACAGTTTCTAAATGACAGAACTGGGGTTCGATGCCAGTTCTGGCTGGCTCCAGAGCGGAGCCCTTTCCATTATCTGTTGAGTCTGAATTCCGTGGAGCTTCTCCCCATTAGTTTCCATCCCTGTTTTAATGCACTATTCATATGCCCCCTGGGCAGGCCACTAAGCTCTCAAGCTTTCTTCTTCCCCCTTGGAGAGGCAAAGAGAGGTGGGAGGAGAGCGTATGAGTAGGGATGGAAAAAACAGAACAGGGAGAAAAGCTCTCCCAAAGACAAGGATGTTCCTTAGGAGAAAGGGTTTTTTTTTTCTGTAAATATGGCTTGCTAGATGTTTTTCTGGTGGAGGTGCAACACACCCTTTCTCTGAACCCACCAGCCTCTTTAGGCTCATCTATGTAACTGGGCAGGGGAAGGGTTAGGTGTGGGGTAGAGGTGTGTGAGAAATGACCTGTTTAGACTCTCTTTACAATAGACCCGGTGTGTGTGTGTGTGTGTGTGTGTGTGTGTGTGTGTGTGTGAGAGAGAGAGAGAGAGAGAGAGAGAGAGAGAGAGAGAGAAGGATGCTCAGTGAGGTCAAATGGTGTTGGGCCTGGGCCTATTTTACTACTGTCTTTACATCAATCAGGTGAATGCCAGTGAGGCTGTGAACACAGTCTCTGCAGCAAGTGGAACAAAGCGGCCTAAGAGTCCACTTTTAATCTTCTACTTTGTCCCTCTCCTACAATAATTTCTCATCACAAGTGAAGGTATGAAAGTAAAAAAGATGAGGTGACTAGCCACGTGTAATGTCCCCGCTGCTGACTCTGCCAAGGCATTGCGCCAGGGCAAGGATGGTTTGCTTGTTTTACCCTGTGAGTTGGTTATAAAAGCAAAAGTGTTTGAAACACTCAATACATATACATTTAATCCGTATAAAGAAACAGATGACAGACATCATAAGACAATGTTGCTAGTACATAAAGACTTTGTAAAGTCAGCCAGCTTTTCCCCAAGCATCTGTGGAGAAGTGCCTAAATTAGGCATTTTAGCCATATTTGCAAATTGAAACTTTAAGGAATGCTTCAAAGGGCTTACATTTATCAAGATTGTGTTCTTTTCCACTCTCTTTAGGGTTCATGGGAAGGGAGAAACAAACATAAATCTCAGTGTAATTATTGTGGGAAATCCAGAGCCCACTTTGCTTTTAAACAGTGTTTCTTTAAAAGAAAAACCATTGAATGCAACCAAAAGTGTGACCAAGCTGTTTAAATCTACTTTAACCCTTTAAAATAAATACAATGTACTCAGTTTAGAACCCAAATTCTTTAAATGGACAAAGTTGAAGCTCAACTTGAATGGCCACAATTCAAAGGCAAAGAAGGTTTGATTTTTGTGTCTTTCCTTCACCCTGTTCAGTAACCTCCATTCTCTCTAGTTTCTCATGTGAGTAGTCTCCTAACATACTCTCTGCACTTTCTTACCTGAGAAATCTTGCTTTTCCAAAGGAGCAACTATCCTCATTTACACCAAGGCTTGAGGCAAATGAGCTAATATCCCTCCCAGAGTCTGGCAGAAGAAGTGTGTTACTTAGCAAAAGTCATGCTGCCCAACTCTCCTGGCTAATGCAGCCCAAGGTTTTTAGTTGGGCATGTTTTTCAGCTAAGTGTACTGATAGGACTTGAGAAAGATTTCTTTTTTCTTTTGAGACAGGGTCTTAGCATTTATCGCAGACTGGATGTAAACTCATGATCTCTTGCATCTATCTGCCAAGTGCTAGGATTATAGGCACTGATGTTTAGAACATACATATAATATCTGGAATGCTAGCAGCCATCTTGAAGCAGTTTATATCCATGCAATACTTGACATAACCCAGGCACAGACCTGAATGAACTTGGGTCTCTGTGAAGTGTAAAACCTACTACATGAGCTCTACGGTACCCTTCTTCAAATGTATTCACATGTCTATTTGTGTATTTTAGAGGTCACTTAACTCACAAAATTGTAATAATAATTGAAATATTTTGGTAAGTTAATAATGGCCTTTGCTGCAGCACAAAATGAATTCTTATTGTATAGAAGACTGGAAGTGCTTAACTGTAGGAGGATGGTCTCCATCAACCTGCCCCTCCCCAGTCACAGCTCACAAAACACTGGAAGAAGTGACAGAAAAAATGTAAGAACTGGAGATTGGGGAGGAGTGCTGTGAAATGCTGTTCTCCAGACATGACATGGCTGTTGCAGATGTAACTCACAGCATCCATGATTACCTCTGCGAGATCAAGCCAGATACAAATTCCAGCATGGTGGAGGAAGAGACTACCGAGGCCCCACCCTAGCTGTGAAGCTATTGGCAGTTGAGGGAGGGAGAGTCACTTTTCTCCTCATAGGTTGCCCATGCTCCTGGTGGATGACCTAATATCTCTGAGCATATGGGCAATACTAACTGGACTCAGAGGGCTAAAATAACAATTATGATGATGATGAGGAAGAGGAGGAGGAGGAGATGAAGTTGTAAGAGAGATGTGTTTGAGAGTTCATGTGGAATTGGAGAAGTAGTTTCCAGGGAGATATTATCAAGAGACCAGTACACA